CTGATTGTACAATCTCCTTCAGATCTACCAACATCTACATAGAACAAGTGATTATCTGGCCGGATACAAAATGTACGGATGTATCATCAGACCTTCATATCACATAGAATTGGTAAGTCTGATCATCATGTGTATGTCCATCTTATCAATACATGACTTCAGTAAGACTTGTGGTCTGTATATTCATAAAGTTTCAATATGTTAAAATAAAAAATAATTTTCATCAACTTTATATCTGCAGCTTTCAAAAAAATATTCCCTGGTGATCCTGCTAAGAAGGTCTTTGTTCAGCCACTTCCTGTTATAGAATGAAAGGGGGGGATGAACGAACCCAGTTATTTATTTGGTTAAAAATATTTATTTAATTTTATTCTATGTATTAACCAATAAAAAATGCCGCGGCCATTTATTGCCAAATAAAAGTGTTAGTGTTTTTATTTTACATTTAAAGTTGGGTTTGTTTATAGTAATGCATAATGTCTCTTGCGTTTCCATGGCAATGCTCTGTTCCTGTCTCACAGTTGTGCTCTTGCACTGTCACTCTGTCACTGAAGCTTCCAATAGAGACTACAAGCAGGTGTTTTACCACCACATTATACAGCTATCACAAACTGTTGTCACCATTAGGAGACCTGCCCAGAGAAATGCCATGCAGCCATCACTGGTATTTCTTGTCATAGTATTGGAATAAAACCCTGGAACTCCATGGATCCTGGACATGTCCCATGATAGAAGTGAAGACATGGCCACTGAACCAAGCTGCCCACCATAGAAGAGAATAAATGGCTCCTGTGGATCCCTCCACTGACACCAAGGTATGTTGTAGTTTTTTTCCCAACTATGCCAGGACATTTGTTTTTACCTCCCACCAGTGGCGGAACTACCACCATAGCGACCGATGCGGTCGCTATGGGGCCCGCGGATCCCCGCTGCTTGTATGGGCTGAGGCAGGGGGGATCCCCCAAAAAATGGACGGCGTAGGAGCCGCTGCCGTCCTGAAACTGACAGGAGGACAGCGCCTCCGCTCTCCTCCCCGCCTGCCTCTCGATCATCGTGATCGAGCGGCCACGGCTGTGTCCGTGGCTGAGTGGAGGATCGGTAAGTATCATTGATATTTACCGATCCTCCGTGTGCAGCACAAACACTGCAGGGATCGTCTGATCACTCCAGTGTTTGTAAATAACTGGGGACACAAAGTACTATGTGTCTCCAGTTATGAATGAGCAGGCTGTGAATTACATCACTTCCTGTTCATTTGTGAATTTCTCAATGGGGAGAAGCACTCAGTACAGAGGCTCCTCCCCATTGAGAATCTGCTTGATGGTAAATATCTTACTATCAGCAGTTTGTCAATGAATGGGAGGAGCCTCTGTACTGAGTGCTTCCCATTCACTGAGGCTTCAGAAAAAGACATTGAGGACTCTGTGTGTGGACTCTGTGTCCTCAATTTCTTTTCTATTTCAAAAGGGAGATGTCGGGGGTCTGTTTAGACCCCTAATATTTCCCCAAAGCCCCCCCAACAGTAAAATAATAATAAATAATAATAAAAAAAAAAATGTGTAAATAAAAAAAAAGCACAACCCCCCCATCCCCCACACACACACATAACATACACGTGCACCATATTGTGGTGTACGCCAGGCACATGCGCTGCAGTGCGTCGTTAGAACGCATCGCAGTGCATGATTTTTTTCTTTTGTAAAAAAACATTAATTTAACTGCGGCAGCACGTGGCAAAGCTTTGTGACGCATTGCCGTGCGTTGTGATACCTTGTGACGCATTGCCGTGCGTTGTGATACCTTGTGTTGTAATTAAATATACGGCGGTATCATTTTATCACAACACAAACGCCAACGCAGCGCAAAAACCATTTATAACATAAATCGCTTATTTACAGTTTAGCGTCCCTTCATTTTTTTTTTTTATAATCCCCCTTTCCTCAGCCTCTCATTGGTGCGGCGGTATTAAAGTCAAGCGTTAGGCCTCATTCAGGCGCCATTCACACCCGGGGCGGAAGCGTTTCACCGTGGTTTCCGCACGATTTGTGAAAGAGCTTTTTTGGCTGTTTTTAATTGCGCTTCAGCGCTGAAACGCGAATAAAAAAACGCTCAAAAACGTGCTGATCGGCGCATTTCTATTAAAATGGGGGCGGGGGGTTTCGTTGGATAGTCAGTCCTTTCTAGTCATGTACACGGATCAACTTAATTTTTATTATAGATATTTGCCGTATTTTGCGGTCCATAAGACGCACCGGACCATAGGACGCAGGGAGGTACGGCGCGCCTTATGGAGCACTCGACAGACTGTAGCTTCTGTCACAGCTTCTATGACAGAAGCTGCAGTTAGTGACCCGCTGAGACAGGTGGCGCAGTGATTACAGCGCCACGGTCTCAGTGATCACGCAGAGCAGACGAAGGACGTCCGTACTTCGTCTGCTCTATGGTGATCTCCATCGTCGCCGCTGCTCGGTTTTAATACGAGTGATCTCATTAGATCACTCGTATTAAACGAGCCGTGGCTCCTGCTGCTGAACTCGATCGCCGCTGCAGCTGCTCGGCTTTAATGCGAGTGATCTCATTAGATCACTCGTTTAAAACGAGCAGTGGCTCCTACTACTCGCCCGGCGCCCGAAACTGCATGTCTCGGGCGTGGGGATTCGCTCCATAAGACGCAGGCACATTTTCCCCCCTCCTTTTGGGGGGGGAAAAAGTGCGTCTTATGGAGCGAAAAATACGGTATATGCCATAAGTTTTCAGTAGGGCAAAGCCACATCAGTCCCTCCCCTCAAAGAGCTTACAATCTAAGGTCCCCATCTCACATACATACAGGGCCAACTTAGACAGGAGCCAATTAACCTTTCAGGATGTCCTTGGAGTGTAGGAGGAAACCAAAAAGCCCAGAGCAAAGCACAGGGAGACTATGCAAACTCCTTGCAGCTATGGTACTGACCAAGATCTGAACTGGGGCACCCAATGCTGCAAGACAGAAGTGCTAACCACTACACCCCTGTGCTGCTCACAGACATTTGTTCTACTGGCGGGCGATAATCTTTCTTCCGGCCCAGCAAGCTGCAGACGTATCTCTGACACTGGGAGGAGCCAAAATAATAGATAAGAGGATCCAGACAACAGTTTATGCTGCTGATACCAAGACAGAGGACGTAGGCAATATACAGAGGCAGATGCCCATACGTAACAGACCACAAATAGTGAATTAGATAGATGACATTGGTGGGACCAAAACAAAGGACAAACACACACAGCACAACCACGGATAGGCGGATAGCTCGCGATCTCTTATGTGTGACATCAAATTGTGATCTGCTGAGACTGCGGATGATTCCAATGTAACAGAAAGTTGTCATTAATAACGGCAAGAAAATAAACAGTGAGAAAGCATAGATGAAATAGATAAAATATAAATCACCCTCGAAGTGCTGATAATCCTGACATATTGGGATATCTAGAACAGGAAATGTCCAGGTTTGTTTTCTTATGAGAAGAGGCACAGTGCTAGCCAATGAGATGACCCAGATGACGCCACACACCAGCCAGGCTCGCTTTACTGAGCGCCAGGGGAGAGACCGCACCGCGTAGACCACGGCCAGGAAACGGTCCACGCTGATACTGGTCATGAGCAGGGAGGAGCAGTACATGTTACAGTAATATGCGGCCATGAAGAAGCGACACATTCCTTCTCCGAACAGCCAGTGAGATCCCGAGAATCGATAGACGATATAAAAAGGCAGGACGCCAATGAGGAGGACATCTGCAGTGGCGAGGTTCAGCATGTAGACCACTGCCGGCTTCCTGACCTTCATCTTCACCAGGAACATGACGATCGCCATGATATTGAGAGGAAGAGCCACAAGGAACACAACAGTGTAGATGGATGGGACCAGCCTGGCCACACTCCAATGTCTGGTTGTATTACGAAAGAACTGATTAAGACGTGCCCCTTTCTCATCTGTAACGTCAAAACATCATATTTATCATAAATGAAAGAACTAGATACATTTCCCTCATCGTAAAACAGAATTCAGCTTAAAAAGCTAAAATGAATAGCATGTCTTTATGGACCTTGCTTTGTGCACTGGTGCGCAGTCAGTGGCGTAACAATCACCATAGCGACCCAGGCGCCGCTATGGCATCTTGCTCGGACAGCCAGGCTGCTGGTTGTCACTGGCGCCTGTGAGGAGGAAAGCTCCGTTCCTCCTCACAGCCGCTGCTGAGTTGGTGACAACCAGCAGCTTCGCAGGAGGTGGCTGGGCCCGTCATCGGCTGTGATCGAGGAGGCGGGGCCTGGCGATCGAGGGGGCGGGACCCGACGACGGAGGAGTGACGGAGGAGTCGATTGTGGAGGAGAAGGAGGCGGACAGAGGATCTGGGCTGACAGGTAAGAGGGCTTGACCTCCCACCTGAGACCCTGCAGAGCCCACCATAGACACTCTATGGTGGGCTCTGCAGGGTCACCCTTAGGTGGGCTGTTTGGGTTATCAGGTGGGCGTAACTAGAAATCACAGGGCCCCATACAAAATTTTGCTATGGGGCCCTGTGATTTGTAGTTACGCCCCTGTGCGCAGTCCTGTTAGAACAGGAAGGGGCCATCCCCAAACTCCTCCACAAAGTTGGGACCATGAAATTGTCCAAAATGTCTTGGTATGCTGATGCCTTAAGGCCAAGCCCAACCCCTGAGAAACAACCCCACACCATAATCCCCCCTCCCCCAAACTTTACCTATTCACAATAAACCTACAGGTCTTCTTACCCCAATCCTATTCATAATAACTAGGGATGTCCCGATGCCGATTCTAGTATCGGTATCAAAGGAATTTTCATGAGTACTTGTACTCGTGAAAATGCCCAGATTCTTAAGGCCAATACCGGTCCTTTAAATTTTTAAACAGCAGTGGCTGTCCGAGTTCCGGTGCTTGTGGGGACTTTGGCAGCCTGCTGGGGACCTTCAAGTAGCTGTCCATGGAAGTGCCTGCCCTGCGGTTTTATAGCTCCTCCTCTTCCTTCCCGACGCAGGCACGGCCATGGACAGCCCCACACCGCACAGCAGAGGTTCCCAACCACCACCAGTTACCAACTGGTCCGCTGCCGCTGGCAGTCTCCTGGGCAGTCCAACTCCCAATCCTGGGCTGGAGAGGAGATGAGCGGGTCAACATGGCCGTATTCCTAAGAGAGCAGAGCAGCGCGGCCGTGCCAGTGAGGAGAGCGTGGCCTTGTGGGGAGTGATGCCAAGTGGCTGGACTGACAGCTCTGCAAAGAGCCATGTTACAAGGTAATGATCGTTATAGTGTGTGCAGCCCTCTCTTATATATCCTCCCTTCATATTACACCCCCAGCAGCCTGGACTCCCCCTGTCTGCCCTGTGTTATTTTATCTGCACCACACTAATCACTACCACCCTCTCCCTGCCACCCCATAACATCTGCATTGGGCTCTGGGGGACATCTGCATTGGGCTCTGGGCGACATCTGCATTGTGCTCTGGGGGGCATCTGCATTGGGCTCTGGGGGACATCTGTATAGCTTTGGGGGACATCTGTATTGGGCTTCGGGGGACATCTGCATTGTGCTCTGGGCGACATCTGCATTGGGCTCTGGGGGACATCTGTATAGCTTTGGGGGACATCTGTATTGGGCTTCGGGGGACATCTGCATTGTGCTCTGGGCGACATCTGCATTGGGCTCTGGGGGACATCTGTATAGCTTTGGGGGACATCTGTATTGGGCTTCGGGGGACATCTGCATTGTGCTCTGGGCGACATCTGCATTGGGCTCTGGGGGACATCTGTATAGCTTTGGGGGACATCTGTATTGGGCTTCGGGGGACATCTGCATTGTGCTCTGGGCGACATCTGCATTGGGCTCTGGGGGACATCTGTATAGCTTTGGGGGACATCTGTATTGGGCTTCGGGGGACATCTGCATTGTGCTCTGGGCGACATCTGCATTGGGCTCTGGGGGACATCTGTATAGCTTTGGGGGACATCTGTATTGGGCTTCGGGGGACATCTGCATTGTGCTCTGGGCGACATCTGCATTGGGCTCTGGGGGACATCTGTATAGCTTTGGGGGACATCTGTATTGGGCTTCGGGGGACATCTGCATTGTGCTCTGGGCGACATCTGCATTGGGCTCTGGGGGACATCTGTATAGCTTTGGGGGACATCTGTATTGGGCTTCGGGGGACATCTGCATTGTGCTCTGGGCGACATCTGCATTGGGCTCTGGGGGACATCTGTATAGCTTTGGGGGACATCTGTATTGGGCTTCGGGGGACATCTGCATTGTGCTCTGGGCGACATCTGCATTGGGCTCTGGGGGACATCTGTATAGCTTTGGGGGACATCTGTATTGGGCTTCGGGGGACATCTGCATTGTGCTCTGGGCGACATCTGCATTGGGCTCTGGGGGACATCTGTATAGCTTTGGGGGACATCTGTATTGGGCTTCGGGGGACATCTGCATTGTGCTCTGGGCGACATCTGCATTGGGCTCTGGGGGACATCTGTATAGCTTTGGGGGACATCTGTATTGGGCTTCGGGGGACATCTGCATTGTGCTCTGGGCGACATCTGCATTGGGCTCTGGGGGACATCTGTATAGCTTTGGGGGACATCTGTATTGGGCTTCGGGGGACATCTGCATTGTGCTCTGGGCGACATCTGCATTGGGCTCTGGGGGACATCTGTATAGCTTTGGGGGACATCTGTATTGGGCTTCGGGGGACATCTGCATTGTGCTCTGGGCGACATCTGCATTGGGCTCTGGGGGACATCTGTATAGCTTTGGGGGACATCTGTATTGGGCTTCGGGGGACATCTGCATTGTGCTCTGGGCGACATCTGCATTGGGCTCTGGGGGACATCTGTATAGCTTTGGGGGACATCTGTATTGGGCTTCGGGGGACATCTGCATTGTGCTCTGGGCGACATCTGCATTGGGCTCTGGGGGACATCTGTATAGCTTTGGGGGACATCTGTATTGGGCTTCGGGGGACATCTGCATTGTGCTCTGGGCGACATCTGCATTGGGCTCTGGGGGACATCTGTATAGCTTTGGGGGACATCTGTATTGGGCTTCGGGGGACATCTGCATTGTGCTCTGGGCGACATCTGCATTGGGCTCTGGGGGACATCTGTATAGCTTTGGGGGACATCTGTATTGGGCTTCGGGGGACATCTGCATTGTGCTCTGGGCGACATCTGCATTGGGCTCTGGGGGACATCTGTATAGCTTTGGGGGACATCTGTATTGGGCTTCGGGGGACATCTGCATTGTGCTCTGGGCGACATCTGCATTGGGCTCTGGGGGACATCTGTATAGCTTTGGGGGACATCTGTATTGGGCTTCGGGGGACATCTGCATTGTGCTCTGGGCGACATCTGCATTGGGCTCTGGGGGACATCTGTATAGCTTTGGGGGACATCTGTATTGGGCTTCGGGGGACATCTGCATTGTGCTCTGGGCGACATCTGCATTGGGCTCTGGGGGACATCTGTATAGCTTTGGGGGACATCTGTATTGGGCTTCGGGGGACATCTGCATTGTGCTCTGGGCGACATCTGCATTGGGCTCTGGGGGACATCTGTATAGCTTTGGGGGACATCTGTATTGGGCTTCGGGGGACATCTGCATTGTGCTCTGGGCGACATCTGCATTGGGCTCTGGGGGACATCTGTATAGCTTTGGGGGACATCTGTATTGGGCTTCGGGGGACATCTGCATTGTGCTCTGGGCGACATCTGCATTGGGCTCTGGGGGACATCTGTATTGGGCTCTGGGGGACATCTGCATTGTGCTCTGGGGGACATCTGCATTGTGCTCCAGGGGGCATCTGCATTGTGCTCTGGGGGACATCTGCATTGGGCTCAGGGGGACATCTGCATTGTGCTCCAGGGGACATCTGCATTGTGCTCTGGGGGACATCTGCATTGTGCTCCGGGGGACATCTGCATTGTACTCCGGGGGACATCTGCATTGTGCTCTGGGGGACATCTGCATTGTACTCCGGGGGACATCTGCATTGGGCTCTGGGGGACATCTGTTTTTAGCCCCGGTGAGAAACTGCCCTAAAATCATTAGTTTGTCTTGTTTCAGCAAAAATGTCTCCTGTCCCTTTAAGAAAAAGTATCGGTAATTGGTATCGGCAAGTACCGGAGGGAAAGCACTTGTACTTGGTCTTAAAAAAGTGGCATTGGGACATCCCTTAATAACTTTATAGTTCATCTTACCCTTATCCTGTTTATTACACTATTACGTAATATACAGATCATTGTTGGAGATTAAGTGGCCCCATCTCAGGACAAGGAGTTTAACCTTTAGAGCGATCAGGATATTGTGAAAAAGGACAAAATCAAAAAATCAAATAAATAAAACTGTAGACATGTCTGAAGTCATGACAGTAATGTGTTCAGAATTAAATAACATCTCATCATACGTTCCTTACCGAGGACAATATGTGTATTTTCATTATCTGTAAAAGTGTAGAGATAAAGTGTTAGAGAATCTTCCAATAAGAACAAACAATTCAGTATTTTATCACACACGTTTCAATAAAAAAAATGTAACATTACAGGTCCTCTTACCCCAATCCTGTACATATTAGACTTGTGCGCCGTCAAAAAATTTGTTCTGTTTCGTTTCGGAATATCCGTTATTTCGTAATTCGTGTCCGGAACTCAATTCGGATTCGGATTCGTACGAAATACGAATTTTCGTTAGTGGCGGTTATGTTTTCGTAACTTTACAAACATTCGTTATGATGAAGTTAAAAAGCAAAAATACCTTTGTTAATATTGGAGTCGATGGTAGTTGTTTTTTTTTATCCGAAATACGAATTCCGTTAACGGATTCCGGATCCGAATTTCGTATTTCGGGAAAAAAACCAAACTACCATCAACTCCAATATATTAACAAAGGTATTTTGCTTTTAAACTTCAATATAACGAATGTTCGTAATGGAACGAAATTCCGTCAATGGAATTTCGTATTTCCTGCCTGTGTATTGTAATGCAACTCTCAGCAGCAGCGGATCCGTATTTCGGATTTGTTGTTCAACCTCATTTACAGGGGTAATATTAGTTCCAGTTTCAAAGAAATTCGGATCTGAAATTCGTTAACGGAATTTTGTATTTCGGATATAATTCGGAAACTGCAATTCGGATTTCGGATGCTTCCGAATTTCGGAATTTCAGGAAAATTCGTACGAATTTCGATTCGTAACGAAACGAATCGCACATGTCTAGTACATATTACCATTGTAGTTCATCTTATCATCTCAACCCAATTTTGTCCATAAGAACACTACAGATCACCCAAAAGTCACTTCCCCACACCGGGTGCTACTTCTGTCAGCTAAATAAATGTAAAACGGAGGTTACAATTCACAAGGGGCTCACCAAAACTGTACAATAGAAGATTGGAAAAACAATGTTGTCTGGTCTAATGAGTCTTATGATGTCTGCTGTGACATTCGGGTGCTTGGGCCAGAATTTGCTGTAAACACGAAAGCGTGGATCCATCCTGCCTTGTATTGTTTCAGGCTGGTGGTGGTTGTGTAATGGTGCGGGAGATATTTTCTTGGCACACTTTGGATCTTTTAGTACCAATTGAACATGGTTTAAATGCCACCCCCAATCTGAGTATTGTTGCTGACCATGTCCATTGCTTCATGACCACAGTGTGCCCATGTTCTGATGGCTACCTCTAGCAGGATAACGCTCCTTGTCTTGAAGCTTGAAGGAGAACTATGGGGTCAGGGCCTTTCCCCATAGTTCTCCTTAGGGTAACGGGAGGATACAAACTAGTGTCCTCCCGTTACCCTAAGCTCAGTATATAGGGAGCTACAGCTCGCGGTATACTGAGACGCCGCAGCTGAAGCGGATCCCGACAATTATTTCTGGTTTCACCCAGCTGCATGAGTGACAGCTGGCTCCGCCTATCTAGAGGCAGAGCTAGCTGTACCCGCCCCCTCCCCCGTCCGTTCCGCCAGTCAGCGCTGGAGGATCGGAGCAGGGAGAGGGGAATCCAGCCCCTCCCCCTGTCACGGCAGAGAGCCGTGACAGGATCGAGAAGTGAGCGCCCGCCGGTATGTGTTCCCTCACTTCCCGATCTACTGAGCCGACCTGTGACAGTCTCATTGTCACAGGTCGGCTAGAACTATGAGGTGAGTGAAAAGTAGACTTGTGCGCCATCAAAAAATTTGTTGCGTTTCATTTAGTTTCAGAATATCCGTTATTTCGTATTTCGTAATTCGTGTCCGAAACTCAATTCGGATTCGTACGAAATAAGAATTTTCGTTAGTTTCGGCACATTTTCGTAACTTTACGAACATTCGTTATGATGAAGTCAAAAAGCAAAAATACCTTTGTTAATATTGGAGTCGATGTGGTAGTTGTTTTTTTATCCGAAATACGAATTCCGTTAGCGGAATTTCTTATTTCCTGCCTGTATTGTAATGCAACCCTCAGCAGCAGCGTATTTCGGATTAAAAAAAAAAATCTTGTCATGTTGTTCAACCTCATTTACAGGGGTAATACAGTGTATTAGTTCCCGTTTCAAAGATATTCTGATCCGAAATTCGTATTTCGGATATAATTCGGAAACTGCCATTCGGATTTTGGATGCTTCCGAATTTACGAATTTCAGGAAAATTCGTACGAATTTTGATTCGTAACGAAACGAATCGCACATGTCTAGTGAAAAGCACTCGCCTCATAATTCTCCTTTAAATCATCTCAGACTGGTTCCTTGTACATGATCAGGGCCGGATTTACTCTCTCTGCTGCCCCGAGGCCAGGTTCCTCAATTCGCCCCCCTCCCCGCCAAGCGCCCCTCATGGAGAATGGCAGACCTTCAGGCTGCATACAAGTGATCTCGGCGACATCGCCAGGATCGCTTGTACAAAACAAGTGGCGGCTTCCCCGCTGTACATTTAGCTCTGCTTGCCCAAAGCAGGGCTAAATGTAGAAAACAACTACCCGCCCGGCGCCCGGAACTGCATGTCCCGGGCATGAGGAGATAGGCATTCCACACCCCTGCTGCCACAGGGCTACTCCCTGCTGCCACATGGCCGGGCCTTGGTTGGCCTTGTGGGAAATCCGGCCCTGAACATGATAATGAATTCACTGAACTCAGATAGCCTTCACAGTCACTAGATCTCAATTCAATAGAGAACCTTTGGGCTGGGATCAGGAGATTCACATCATGGATGTGCAGCTGACAAATCTGCAGCAACTACGCAATGCTATCATGTCAATATGGACCAAACCCTCTAAGGTAGTGGTTCACAACCTGTGGGTTGCGACCCAAAAGTGGGTCACAACCCACAGTTGAGGGGGTCCCCACATGTCTTGTGCTGCTCTAGGTAGGAGGCTCCTCAGCCTCCTCCTAGCGCAGCCTTGTCAGTTCTCCTAGATGGCGCTGCAGCAGCAGCGGCCGGAGAGGATCAGAGAGAGGGGAGCAGGCGGGAGTGAGGGGAGGTGAGTGCTTGATCACCACAGAGCCCACACTGGACGCCTACAAAGAGTCTCACTAGCCACCTGAGAGCCCGAATAGCCTCCCGAGAGCCCACACAGATACTAGTATTGGTGCATCCCTACATTTTACGGTTGGGGGGTCACCACAACTTGGCAAATGTTACCAAGGGGTCCCGGCCCTAGAAAGGTTGAGAACCACAGCTCTAAGGAATGTTTCCAGCACCTTCCTGAATCTATGCCACAGAGAATTGAGGCCGTACTAAAGACAAAAGGGGGTCCAAACTTTACAGTCCAGATATCTCCTGCCAGAAAAATCCTTTATCATCAGAAGAAGAGAAATGAAATCTGAATGGGAACAAATGCAAATTTTCATCCAAATTTTGTTCAAAATGAAACTGAAATCGGTAACTATGCTCATCTCTAGGGATGTCCGGATACCAGCGCCGACTAGGGCTGCCACCTTTTCTTCAAGTGAAACCCGAACACTCTAGCGATGCACGGACATATTTTTCTTGGGAGAATGAGTGGTGGCTTATTCATATGTAAATAGCGTCACCCATTCATATGTAAATATCACAGTTCAGACTATTTTCAGTGGGGGGGGGGATGGACAGGTGGCAACCCTAGTGCCGATACTAGGGTTGCCAGGGGGCGCGCACAAGCGGGTGCGGGCACGAAGGACATCTAAAGACGCCCACCCGCATCCAGAAGACTCCCGTCCGGCCGTTTCTGAACATTCGGTGGACGGGAGGTGGTTAAAATGACAGCGGCCTCCTAACTTTTGAATTTTTCTCTAGTCTAGTTTTGGAGCTGGAAAAGTATCTGGACATGTAACAGCTATGGTGCTTGGTATCTGAACATCCCTACTCATCTCCCATTGGTCAAAATAGATGGTTGTACTGTGTACAGGCAGTCCCCGGGTTACGGACGTCCGACTTACGGACAATCCGTACTTACGAACCGGGTCCACAGCTCTCCTAAATGTACCGGCAGCCACTATGAGGTAACATGTTATATAATGAGTGTCAGTATTGTCATCCTAGTGTGGCTTACCTTCTGTGAGATCGCCCCCTTCCAGTCCAAAGGCCTGAACCCTGACATCCAGGAGCACAAGGGTCACACTGGGAGTAATCATCAATTCCACTTCTTCAGAGGTAAATGAACTCCCAAGTGGGGTGACCAAGGCTTCTAGAGATGTGTATTCATCTATGAGGATCTCCTCTGTAATGCAAAGAATGATAGAGAGCT